TATATATATATATAGAATACTTTTATCGCAAAAAGATAAATATTTTAGGTATTCAATAAAAACGAGAAAATGCTGTTTAAAATTTTTAAAATTCTTGAAAGCGACTAACAAAATTTTCCTCTAAAAATTTGGTTGCGGACTTACGAATTTATTCTAATGGATTTACTAATTTCATATCAAAAAGGAAAATATTTAAAAAAAATTTGAATTATGGGTTTAATGTTGGAAGGAATGTAAAAAGGTGTTCAAAATTAAAAGAAGAAGTAGACCCCTTAGAAGTAGACCCCTCCCCCTAAACGGGTTTTAAAACTGGCGGGGTCCATTTGTGAACTGGCGTTGTTCAGTCTCGGCAGTAGCAAAGGTATTTTAGAAGAAAGTGAGATGCCCTGAAAAATTTTCGTCAAGGAACTTCATGGAAGAACGTTTATTTCCGGTAAGTAATTTCAAATGCTTCTGAATCAAAAATTGTTTGAAATGTTAAAATTTCTAATATGTATGCTAATTAAAAAAATTATTTTTAAAATTATATATTTTCTTTACTATTTTACTTAAAAACGTTATAATTGTTTTAAAATATATTATGAGTTTAAATAATTCTGACTGAGAAATATTGTATACTTATATATGTAATGTTATGAGAATGTAATGTAATGAGTATGTAATACTTATATATGTAATGTTATGAGAATGTAATGTAATGAAATATGTAATGTTATAAGATATACTGTCATTCAATTAAAAGGAATTTCAATTAATTACATCAATAATTTCCAAAACATTGTTGAAATTAAGCGTTTGATTTCTTAATTGATTAACTTTTTTTTTATTCTCTCAAAATTGTATTGATAAACCGTTTTAAAAAAGATAACTATGAATAAGATAAGACAAACCATTTTTTTACAAAAAAATGAATGTCATTCAAATTTGAAACTAAAAAAGAAGCCTTACATTTTGAATTAAGACTTGTCTTCCTTTTATTTGATCATTTTTGATTACTTTACTTCTTAAAAATAATATTAGTCAGCCATTTTAAAATTTGAAATAATAAATTTGGTAATCAAAACTAAGCTTTTCCCCTTTAGAAGCTATTACATTATTATTGAAAGCAGATTAGATTGCTATTGCTGCAAAGCCACAAGACTCTAATGTTTGTAAATGTTTATAATGTACTATGTATATAAATGTAAAAATAGACAATACTGAAATACAATGTCTTAAATTTGCTTAAAATTAATTTAACATTCACTGTAGGTTACGGTACTAAGATAATATTGATGATTGTGATTGTAGCTATCATAAACAATTGTTTTTAAAAGGAAAATGCTCAGTTTGAAGTACAAATTTAATTCTTCATGTTTGAAATGATTTATTAAAATAATTTCATGAATCGAAATTTTTTTTAAAGAAAATGTTTATTTTAAGTGCCCAAATTCATTTTTTTCCTATTTAAAATGGCTTATCACTAAAATTTAATCAATCTGATAATTGGTTTAATTATCCAAATTAGTTTTTAAATTAATAGCGATGTACCACATAATATTAAAATATACAAAATTTAATTAATAGTAAAATATACAAAATTTAGGAAACGAAAGTCTATACTGAAAATTAAAGACAATACCTAAATTTAAGTAAATTATTTCATTTATTAAAATTGTTACTGGTTTATTTAAAATTTAAGTGCCTGTGAAATAATATCTCAAAGTATTATGGGTAATAATCTTATGACATTACATCTTTCAATAATGTAACTGTTCTGAAAAGGAAAAAACTTTTAACTGAACAAACATATTTTTTCATATTTAAAACAGCTTACCATTACAATTGTATAATAAAAATTGTAAAGTAAATAAGAATATTAAAGAAAAAAAGTCTCAATTCTAAGTGAAAATAAGTTTAAAACAGAAAAAAAAAAAACTTTAATATGTAATGGTACTATAATATTATCTTACAATAATACCTTTTCAGCAACCTATTTTTTTTTCAATAGGAAAAGGCTTAGTTTAAATGTCAAAATATAATTTTCTAATAGCAAAATGAAGCTTTCTAATCAGCATTGAAATTTTTAAAAGGTAAATAAATACAATTAATAAAATAGTAAGAGATTATAAGTCCTATTCGAAATGCAATGATTTATTTAAATTAGGTGTGGATATGACATTCATTTATATCTTAAAAAATGTTTTACCTTATCTTATTATGTTTAACCTTACTTAACCTTATGATGTCTTATGTCTTATTTTATGGTTAACTATTCAAAATAATTTATCAATTAAATTTTTAGAAGGTAAAAAAATTTTTGGAACACAGTTTTTAAAAAAAAAAAAAATTATGTTTAATATATAATACTTAATTGAGTAATGGACGAACTCTATGCATTAAAAATATAAAGTTTCCCTCACATTCTTGCTCATAAAAATTATTTCTAAATTTTTTTGGAAAATAATTAACACTAGATTGCCTAAGAAAGTCATTTTTACTGCTTTTACTTTCAATTAGAAAAACAATGATGTATATAATGAGACTATTTCTTAGAGTTTTGTACAACATGTAATTTTTTTATTGTTAATATCTATTAATAACTTGTTATATAACTGTAAATAAAATAAAAATTATTAAAAATTAATTTTAAATAAATTTCTTTATTTATTCTTTTACCATCCAGCCATTTTGACTGCTTTTGGGCAATATAGATATATACTAAGTTTCAGTCTTTCTATTGTTAAATTTACTAATTATGAATAATAGAACTATTTTAAATAAATAAGCGATTAAATTTTTTGTTTGAGTTTGCATTTAACTTTATCACAAAAATTAGTTAGCTTTTAAATATGAGAAGAAGTTTGTTTAAAATTCTTAGTTTTTTAGAAAATAAATTTTTTTTTAAAATTTAAGTCTTAGCTCTTAAAATAAATAATTGATAGCGTCGTCTTTAGAGCACTATGACTGCAACATGAGGTTATCTCTTGTAGAGATGGGAAAAAAGAGCGCTCTAAATAAGAGTCACTTACAAATAATTTCAATACATTTAAATCTACTTATTTGTTAAGATTTTTTTAGTTGGTAATTTTTTCGGTTTTCCCTCTTTGACCTTATTACAGAGGTTTGTGGTAGATTTTGATGGTCACGTTTAAAAGTTTTCTTTATTGTAAAGTCTATAGAAATAATTCCGTGCCTTCCAAAAGTGATAGTAAATAAAAGTGGTCGCTACACAGAGGTGGTCTTTCCCGGTGGTTTTGCTGTATTTAAAAAATTAATTATTTAGTTAAATTTATTTAATTTATCCTTTGACTATTAGATTTTTTGCTATATTTATTAATGCAACTTATTTGATAGATAAAATATAAAACTTGAATTTCTTTCATGTCCATTTGTAGGTATATTGAAGGCAACACAGTATGGAATTTTTAAACACCGTGTAAGTAACTGATTATAATATTCGTTACAACATTTTCTGTACTTCATTTTTATTTATTTATTTATTTTAAGATTTACCAATATTTATCTTAACTTTTACCAACTTTACCTTTCAAAATTAAAGTTAATGATTTCATATATAAGGTGTATAATTAGTCGTATGATTAGTTTTGGACAAGTGACTTGTTTTAGTAAATGTTAAGAAAATGTAGTTTTGTATACGTTGTTTTAATGCTTACATCGTAAATTAGAAGAATGCTCTTTTTGTACTCTTAAGAGTCTTTAAAAAAGGATTTATAAAAAAAATAATAAAAGGAAACCTGAAAATGTTCCCCTATAAAAAAACTTGAAAATTACCATTACGCAAAAATTCTATATTATCAAAAGTATAAAATAAAACGAAAAAAACTGCTATATCTCCTAAATATTGATATTTCTTACAAATTTTCAGTAATAAATTATTTTCCTACTTAGCTTTCGCCTCATGAAGGGAAATAGTTCATTGTTGAAGTGTTACATTTCGAAGTGTTACATTTACTTAAATTTATAATGAGCTTTAAATTAAAATAATATATATATATATTGTCAATTCAGAAAGAATTTCTNAAAAAAGGGGGTGGGAAATAATAAGTAAAAAAATAACAAACAACATATTATTTAAAAAAAAAAAAAATTTGAAATTTTAATTAAAAAACCGGAAAAAAAGATATAATCTTTTCTTCAGCCCACACGATTATATCCGCAAAACAGAGTGCTTTCTGATATTGTATCAATAAAGCCAAAGCAAAATATATTAATACAAAATACAATAGTGTGAGGAGCACTCAAAAAATTTTTTATAAAACAACAACATTATTGATACAATATCAGAAAGCACTCTGTTTTACGGATATAATCGTGTGGGCTGATGAAAAGATTATATCTTTTTTTCCGGTTTTTTNCTTTGTTTAATGAAATTATTTTAGTAAGTTTAGTTTACTATTATTAAAATTAGTAAGTTCCACAATGTCAATTTCAGATATAAGGATTGGAGGACTAGATATTGGAGGATTCAGATATTGGAGGACTTTGTTCGCCAAGGATTCAACAAATGACTGTCGCAACCTCTTATACAGGAAATTGGAAAACTCATCCCCATGACAAAATCAATCCAAGAATATCTAACGATCATACAATTGCAGGTAATACTTTATGTTATAAATTTTACAGATGTAGAGCATGTTATGTTATAAATTTAAGTTGTTAAGCTCAGCAAACATTCTATTTTACCTTACCCATTATCTTAACATTTTTCTATAATTAGATTAAAAAATTTATATTTTTTAGTTTCAAGCCCTTAATTTGGAGAAATCTAATAAAATCTCGTTGTTTGAAAAGTTTTTAAATAAGGTGGCTGTCATAAAATAATTTGCAAATGGAAATATATACCAATATGAAAGTTGAGTGAAAAAGAGTTTTTGTGATTTAGTTTTTTAATTTCTAAAATATTACTCGAATGCATGTTACCATTATGCATGCTCATAAAAAAGTTTATTAACTATTTAATGAAGTTATATGTCCACTCTAGAGCCCAAATAATAAGGTAAAATAGTGATTATAAATTGAAATTGAAGCTTTTCTTCAAATCTAAAGTATTTTTAAACTTTGGCTTATTTACTATACTTCAAAAAAAAAAAAAAAATCATGTTTATGGCAGCGCCATCTCGTAGACAGATATTGCAAACATTTAAATATTTGAGTGAAAGAGGTCTGATGGGCTTTTTTCACACTAAGAACTTACCGGGGGAAACGATGATCTCAGATGAAACTACTCATAAGCCATGTAAGAGTCCTGTGACGTTTTTTTCTTTTGTTTTAATATTGAGTTGGTTAGATTGATGTTTTTTTCTTCCCTGGTAATCTAGTAAACAAACTATTGAGTTTGTCTTCGAAAGATAACAAAACAAATCACGAAAAAAAATTTTAATTCTTGATATACGGTAGATACATCCATGTAATAACCAAATCGAAGTTTTAAAACAATTTTGCTTTTCACTTAAAAAAAAACAAACTAACTTAAAATAAAATAATAGACAATAACTTTATCATAAAAAAAGCTTAAATCATAAAAATTTTAAAAACTTAACATAATTATATATAAATTTAAAATTAGCTATATTTAATACGGTAAAGTTTCTTCCTTTGTTTCTTCTATCACGGCTGGGGGCAAAATTTTAAATATCAATCTTAAGAGTTGTTCAAAAATTTAAATTCGTTGAGAGATTTAAAGAATGAAATTTTCAGACTGGTTTATCATTAGGTATTGTTTTATTTTAAACTGGACAATCTGTTTTTCAAATATTCTAAAGGCAACATGAGTGATGTTTGCGTACTTATAGATCTATTCAAGTAAAAAAGTACTTCATTGAACTTTTTTTTATTATCTATCTATTCATTAAGTCAGATAAGCTTAATGATCAACATGAAGGTGGTAGCATATTTGAAGAAAGTCACTAAACTAATATTTCTGATGTTGTCTGAAAACACGAGATTATTTTGTTTACTGTTACGCTTTTAAAATCTGTTTTTATTATGGTAAATTTTGACTATCAGTCATTAGCAATATAACTTTCAAAAATGTGTTTTGAAACTAATAAATACTAATTATGTAAAGTTGTCATTAAATACAACAAAAAAATAGTAAGTCAAATAAATTTTAAATTATTCTTTCAGTTTTATAAATTTGGTCAGTATCGGCATATGCCTTTCCGTTTTGTGAATGATTTCGTAGTGATGATTAACACCAATTTATAGATTATTTAAACTTTTTTTTTTATCTCGTAAGAAGGATATTCAAGTAGTTACACAATAAAAAGTCGAATTTTTAAATGCATTTCTAACATTAATTTTAATTGGTTTCGATGACAATTTAAAATGTTAGTTAGACTTGTTTTGAGCATGGTTCTTTTGTTTTAATTATAATAACTTTATATAATACCATACATAATATCTATACACTAACTTTAATAGCCTACCATTATCATACAAAATTACAATAAAAATTATTGTTTACATTTTTTCTGGAATAATTTTTAAATAGACATATTGTAGTTTATGGTTGGATTGGGTTCTCTTAATATTCAATAGGTATTGATTAATATTTTAAAGTGTAAATGATAATTTCTCTTATTTCTTTCACTGTTTATCTTATATAGAAAACATTAAACACTGAAACTGAAATTGATTTATAGGTGTTGTCCGAAGTAAATTCCCTGACGTCGCACAAGCATCAGTAGGAGATGCTGTTGAAAAGGTGGCTGAGATATGCTGGAGACAAAGAAGGTCGTAGAAAGAAAGGAAGAAAAATTCTGAAGAATATTTCTGAAGCTGGAATGATATAAATTTTATAATTCTACTATATTATTACTACTATTTCTAATACTATTGATAAAATAAATTTCTGAAAACATTTGTCAGCAAAAGCTTTTATATATTGTTAAAATAAATTTCCTGAAACATTTATTTGCTTATTTCCTTGTTAACTGATAATTATAAACACTAACATTAAATTAATATACATGCAAAAAGATATTAACCAGATAATTACACTGAAAATAATGTAAATTTTCCATTAACATGTAATCACCACCTAAAATTAAAAATTATTTGAGAAGAAACACAACCTAAAATAAAACTGTTTTTTATAATTTTAATTTTTTAGAATTCATATTAATCATTAAATGAAAACAAAAAAATTATATAACTAAACTATATACTTTACAATAACACAAAGGAATTTTTATTTAATTTATAACTATAATTTAAATTTTTTTTATTTTCGATTGTTTTTAAATAAGATTAGGAAAGTTAATACCTCGAATTTTTATAAACATAGTTGATACAAAAAATAATAAATTAAATATAAAGTTCTAATTTAAATTACAAAAAAAGAATATATAAAAAAATTAACTCTTTTATAATATTTTTGTTAGATGAATCAATCAAACTATAATTTACTATATTACAATCTTCTCTCATAAAACACAAAAGGGTTAGTATGCTTATAAATATAAAAAAAGAAGGAGAGTTTGCTTTTATTTCTACTAAAATTTGATACTATAAGTTAAACTTTAAAGAAATTTTTGTTGTTACATTCAATACAGCCCTTTTTCAAAGCAATTTGTTTTTGTTAAAATGTTTTCTATAAGTGCCCCAGAAAAGAAATAAATAAAAGTACTTTAAAAAAAAGTAAAAGTTTTAATTATAATTAAATAAAAATGCACCTTCATATATACTGGCTCTATCAGGCACTAGGGAAAAAAGTAGCCATCAGAATAACATAGCTTCTACAACGAGAGTCCTAAGTAAAAAGTATTAACACTGAGAAAAGTTAAAAAAGAAAGTATAACCATTAATGGAAATTTATTGGCTACTTGTTGGCGCAATATAAATTAATATCCTTTTTTCATGATGGGTCACTATCGGAAAGCTGAAAACAGCCGATATTGATCCATTATGGAAATTTATTGGCTACTTGTTGGCGCAATATAAAATAATATCCTTTTTAATGATGGGTCATTATCGGCAAGCTGAAACCAGCCGATATTGGTCCATTATAAACCAGCGTCATTTTAATGTTGGGTCTCTATCGGAGAAATTTTAATGTTTCTGGACAACTGAAAACAGCCAATACAATTCCGATATGCACTTGCCAAAAATGGCCCGATAAAAATGTGTCAAATGGCCGACATCGACCCGACATCATTGATCAGTATCGGCTCCAGCTGCCGGCCGGCCGGACACTTTTTTGCCGCAGCCGATTCGGCCAACTATGTTGGGCCGATGACGGTGCTATCGGTCACTGTATATTGGCCCGTTATCCCGCCTTAAATGTTGTGTTTGCTGGGAT